ATTAGAGGTTTAATTGAGGAATAGTCATTCAGTTACTAGCAAATTGGTTATCATGGAGAACTAGCGAATTGGTTATCAGGGATGGAACTAGCAAATTGGTTATCAAGGATAACTAGCGAATTGGTTATCAAGGATAACTAGCGAATTGGTTATCAAGGATAACTAGCGAATTGGTTATCAAGGATAACTAGCGAATTGGTTATCAAGGATAACTAGCGAATTGGTTATCAAGGATAACTAGCGAATTGGTTATCAAGGATAACTAGCGAATTGGTTATCAAGGATAACTAGCGAATTGGTTATCAAGGATAACTAGCGAATTGGTTATCAAGGATAACTAGCGAATTGGTTATCAAGGATAACTAGCGAATTGGTTATCGGGGGGGGGGGGGGGAATGTAGCAAGCTAATAATTGTCGTGAATAGGATTTGAGGAGAATTGAATATTCCGTGAATGATTTTTGTTTGATTGATGGCTGGCTGAAGGGTTGGGGGGGTTGGGGTGGTTGAAGTCTCCTTGTCGGTGAAAACGACGGGTCGTGGTTCGCTGCTACCGCTACTGTCCGCTACCCCCGCTCACCCGTCCATTTGTCTGCTGTCCGCTACCACCATCCTCGCTACCAGCGTCGACGGCTACCACCATCCTCGCTACTAGCGTCGACGGCTACCACCATCCTCGCTACTAGCGTCGACGGCTACCACCATCCTCGCTACCACCGCCGACAGCTACCACTGCCGACAGCTACCACCGCCGACAGCTACCACTGCCGACAGCTACCACCGCCGACAGCTACCACCGCCGACAGCTACCACCGCCGACAGCTACCACCGCCGACAGCTACCAACGCCGACAGCTACCAACGCCGACAGCTACCACCGCCGACATCTACCACCGCCGACAGCTACCACCGCCGACAGCTACCACCGCCGACAGCTACCACCGCCGACAGCTACCACCGCCGACAGCTACCAACGCCGACAGCTACCACCGCCGACAGCTACCAACGCCGACAGCTACCACCGCCGACAGCTACCACCGCCGACAGCTACCACCGCCGACAGCTACCACCGCCGACAGCTACCAGCGTCGACAGCTACCAACGTCGACAGCTACCAACGTCGACAGCTACCACCGTCGACAGCTACCTACGCCGACAGCTACCAGCGTCGACAGCTACCAGCGCCGACAGCAACCTACGTCGACAGCTACCACCGTCGACAGCTACCTACGCCGACAGCTACCAGCGTCGACAGCTACCAGCGCCGACAGCTACCACCGTCGACAGCTACCTACGCCGACAGCTACCTACGCCGACAGCTACCAGCGCCGACAGCTACCAACGCCGACAGCTACCACCGTCGACAGCTACCAACGCCGACAGCTACCTACGTCGACAGCTACCAACGCCGACAGCTACCAGCGCCGACAGCTACCAACGCCGACAGCTACCACCGTCGACAGCTACCAACGCCGACAGCTACCAGCGCCGACAGCTACCAACGCCGACAGCTACCAGCGTCGACAGCTACCAGCGCCGACAGCTACCAGCGTCGACAGCTACCAGCGCCGACAGCTACCACCGTCGACAGCTACCTACGCCGACAGCTACCAGCGCCGACAGCTACCAACGCCGACAGCTACCACCGTCGACAGCTACCAACGCCGACAGCTACCAGCGCCGACAGCTACCAACGCCGACAGCTACCACCGTCGACAGCTACCAACGCCGACAGCTACCAGCGCCGACAGCTACCAACGCCGACAGCTACCAGCGTCGACAGCTACCAACGCCGACAGCTACCAGCGCCGACAGCTACCTACGTCGACAGCTACCAACGCCGACAGCTACCAGCGCCGACAGCTACCAACGCCGACAGATACCTACGTCGACAGCTACCAGCGTCGACAGCTACCAACGCCGACAGCTACCAGCGCCGACAGCTACCACCGTCGACAGCTACCAACGCCGACAGCTACCAGCGCCGACAGCTACCAACGCCGACAGCTACCAGCGTCGACAGCTACCTACGCCGACAGCTACCATCGCCGACAGCTACCACCGTCGACAGCTACCAACGCCGACAGCTACCAGCGCCGACAGCTACCAACGCCGACAGCTACCAGCGTCGACAGCTACCTACGCCGACAGCTACCACCGCCGACAGCTACCTACGTCGACAGCTACCTACGCCGACAGCTACCACCGTCGACAGCTACCAACGCCGACAGCTACCAGCGCCGACAGCTACCAACGCCGACAGCTACCAGCGTCGACAGCTACCAACGCCGACAGCTACCAGCGACGACAGCTACCTACGTTGACAGCTACCACCGCCGACAGCTACCACCGTCGACAGCTACCACCGTCGACAGCTACCAGCGCCGACAGCTACCACCGCCGACAGCCACCAGCGCCGACAGCTACCAGCGCCGACATCTACCAGCGCCGACAGCTACCAGCGCCGACAGCTACCACCGCCGACAGCTACCACCAAGGACC